ACCGTATTTTGTAAAAATCATAAACACGTTCTTGAAAAACAATCTGTACCTTCGAAACAACATTCTTGGCAGGGATTTGTAACGCAGATATTCACATTTCGTAGTCAACTAGCACTCAGTATGTGGAACTCGTATAACGACCCGGCATTTCTATTAACGATATTCTACGCAGGTCCTAGCCGCTCAAACCAGTAACTGAAGTGGCTTCATTCTTCAATTCCAAACTCCTGAATGTTAACAACACTGACCAGCTCGTAGCAACAGCCGGCATTTGTTTAAAAAAATACTGACTCTATGATGTAAGCTGACCAGGAGGATTCAATTATAGGTTACGAGGTTCATCCAGCGAAAGTACGCTCGCGTCGGGACTCGTTTTTCTTTTTATCAGTGCAGTGGATGAGAAAACACCTTTCACGACAGAGAATCCTTTCGAAACTCCTTCTTTTAATAGCGATGAATCTGATCTCGAATGCTGGTCACTTCTGCTTAGAATAGAGTTTTTTTTGAAGCTCGAATACATTATTTTTTGTTTTTAGAAACTTTTCAAATTTAAAACTATTTAGACGTAAATTTTCCCAATTCCATAACTTCCCAATTCCACAATTTCCCAATTTCATAATTTCCCAATTCTATAACTCCCCAATTCCATAATTTCCCAATTCCATAACTCCCGAATTCGACAACTCCCCAATTCCATAACTCCCCAACTCCATCGCTCCCCAATTCTATAACTCCCCAATTCCACAACTCCCCAATTCCATAATTCCCCAATTCCACAATTTCCAATTCCATATCTCCCCAATTCCATAACTCCCCCAATGCCATATCTCCCCAATTCCATAATTCCCCAGTTCCAAAATTTTCCAATTCCAAAATTCCGCAATTCCAAATTTCCCCAATTCCAAATTTCTCCTATTCAACAATTCTCGAATTCTAAAATCCCTGAATTCCAAATTTCCCCAGTTCAAACAAACTTTCAACCCAACAATTTCAAACTCACACCCTCGTACACAATAGAAAATAAATTCATACCACTAAGAAGAGTGTCATAATAACGACTCGACCATAGAGTGTCGATCTCTGAAGCATCATTTGCACTCTCTCTGAATAAAAACGCATAACGTTTTCTGTTCTGGTCAACTTGGAGGAGCATTTGAGACAAAATCGTGGGGAAAAACAGTTGCGTCCACTCGGGAAAGCCAACGGGGACGTTATTTCGTTGCAGGCCCCCGTTCGTTCGCCAAAGGCTGTTCACTGTTCGTAGTTCGGTTCCATGGTTGACTAGGTAACGTGACGTGAAACACCGACTTTTACTTTCCGTGGCGATTCTACGTGTGTCTTGGACAGATAAGGAGAAACGAAACTGGAACGCCAAGGCGTACCGGAGTCGAGTCCGTTGGTCTTATTATGCTGAAAATGTTCTTAGGTAAATACGACCGCCTCTTGACCCGTTCACGGGGTTCGTTCGCGTTTAAGAGCCGACCAAACGGAAGGAGTTTTCTCGTTAGGGCAAGTGCCGTTCACCCGGCAGAGGTTATGACCTTTGGGTCACATTTGCCACGGTTCTGGATGAAATGCTTCCCGTCACGTAGACTTCATTGGTTTGAAATATTTTTGTGGATTTTTATTGCTGTTGAATTTTCAGTTTAAATTTATTCAGTTCCAAATTTCCCAATTCCAAAATTCTCTAATTCTAAAATTCCCCAATTCCACGTTTCCTCAATTCCAATTTTCCCCAATTCCAAATTTCCCCAATTCCACATTTCCCCAATTCCAAATTTTCCCAATTCCTAAATTCCCTAATTCCACATTTCTCCAATTCCAAATTTTCCCAATTCCAAATTTTCCCAATTCCAAATTTTCCCAATTCCAAGTTTCCCCAATTCCAATATTCCCCAATTCCACATTTCCCCAATTCCAAATTTTCCCAATTTCTAAATTCCCCAATTCCACATTTCCCCAATTCCAAATTTTCCCAATTTCAAATTTTCCCAATTCCAAGTTTCCCCAATTCCAAGTTTCCCCAATTCCAATATTCCCCAATTCCACATTTTCCCAATTTCACATTTCCCCAATTCCAAATTTCCCCAATTCCTAAATTCCCTAATTCCAAATTTTTGCATTTCCAAATTTCTCCAATTTCAAAATTCCCCAATTTCAAAATTCCCAATTCCAAAATTCCCCAATTCCAAAATTCCCCAATTCCAAATTTCCCCAATTCCAATATTTCCCAATTTTAAATTTCCCCAATTCCAAATTTGTCCAATTCCAAATTTCTCCAATTTCAAAATTCCCCAATTTCAAAATTTCCAATTCCAAAATTCCCCAATTCCAAATTTCCCCAATTCCAATATTCCCAATCTCAAATTCCCAAATCCCCAAATCCCAAATTCCTAAACTCCCCAGTTACAATAAATTCCAAATACCCAAACGTCCACAATTCCATTCAATTCCTCTACCCATCACAAAATAGAAACACCCAAAAGCTTGTTATCTTCGCCCTATTTCTCCACTGTATTTTGGTCTACTCCATGCAATTTCACCAGATTCGCCTTCCCCAAGACTCTAATTGATTAATTGATCAGTTCGTGATTCGAGGCAGTTATCGGCGACTGGTCCGTAAAATTACGGGTCTATTTATGCCGTCGTTTACTATCGATGGACGCGGAAGAACCATAATCACAAGATGAGTTAGTGGTTACCCGATTTAATGATAGAACAAGCTTCAGTTAACTCCATTAGCTATGTTGTCAACGATCAACAATTTTCAGAGACTTGTTACCTCTATTTAAGCTAATCGTGTATCTCATGAATAATTCCTTCCTTGACATTTTTTCCTGCGTTTACGTAACTTGCCATCAATCATGGTATAGTTCAGAGTTCAATCGACATCGTAAATAATTTTGAATTTATTATTTTCTTGATGGTTTACTTGTCACTTTGTATAGGATGCTTTAGTTAAATTTATATTTAAATTATATTTATTTCAACATTATTTTTTAAATATTTGTTAATTGCACATGTATCAGATTGTACTATGGTGTACTTCTAATCATGTTATATTTATGTTCATTAATTTTTATGTATTACGAAATTATCAACAAAAGCAAACAATTTCTTATAAAATATAAGTGCATAAACATCACCTGACAATTGACCATAAATTTTATTTTGACCGTCTATTTTCTATGTTCATGATCATATTTGTTCCATGAACAATCATGTTTTATGATGATTTGATCAATCGGGTCTTAAAATATTCTGCATTGTTTTTGATCATAAGTGTCAACGTTTTTGAAAGATGTCCATAATGCACCGTGACATCTGCAAATAAATGATCAAGTAACTACTTAATTTTGTCCGTATTCTACAATCCTCGTGTTGCATTAGATTGATTACGAACTTCCTTGCTCTAATTGCAGAGAATTAATGGTTCACCTGTAACGCGTCGCAGGCGTATTGCAACACACGATGATGCTGGACGTCTTCGTAACACTTACGAAAGATTTATCGATCGAATTCGCGTGCTAAAATCTTTCATGCAAATCGATCCACCCTCATAATCGTCGCGTTATCGTTTAATTATGGAAATAGGTAACGAGAATCGTTTCGTTCGAGTGCATCTCGAATCGTGTCAGCCGAATAAATTAACTGGAGGTATAATTAAATTACGGTTCGTTAAACAGAGGCTGATCGGTTATTCTTTTATTATTCTTTTTGGATCCTTTTATTTTGCATACTTATACTTTCATTTGGACTCACTTGACTTGTCATATTAATTAGTATAAAAGAAAGATAGATATTCAGCTTTTTGAAGAGATTTGCTTGACGTTTTATGAGGCGTTTAGTTAGATAGGATGTGAAGTCGAAGTTTGAACATGATTCATATGTTCATGTGGTTTAATCCTAAGTTTGAACATGATTCATTTGTTCATGTAATTCAAAGCTAAGTTTGGAGATAATTCACTTGTTTACATAATGGAATTCAAAATTTGAACATTATTCATATGTTCACATAATGCAATTCAAAGTTTGAACATTATTCATGTGTTCACATAATGCAATTT